CACTACCACTACGACTACGACTACGACTACGACTACGACTACGACTACGACTACGAATACGACTACGACTACGACTACGACTACTACTACTTCTTCTTCTTCTTCTTCGTGTGTTCTTCTTCTTATTATTCTTATTCTGTTCTTGCTCCTGCTCCTACCTCTCATTGCTCCTGCTGCTGCTACTGTGAAAACGGCGAGCACCAACACCACACCAGCACCAGCACCGGGACCGGCACCGCCAACGGCGCACCATAATTTTTCCCACACCCCAAGGCTAGGGGTGGGGAAATTTGGGGGGGGGGGGGAAAATATAGGTGTGATTCTCGATCAAAACCTCTGTAAACCCCGTTATGCACAACAAAATCTCGCTTGGACGTTCACTGTATGCTCATGGCAGGGCGTCCTGGGGCTTCCACTTTCTGGATTACCACCTTGCTCCCTCTTACAGAACCAACCTCCAAAAAAATACAGCCTATTGTCTTGAACACCTGAAGAGCCAAACTCGGCCCGGACTCGCCGATGTAGGTACTTCCCAAATCATCCGTGCCACAGATTCCTTCGGGGCAGACAACCAGAATCCGCGCATAGGGGATGTGCCGGTGATGCTTAGGTTGGCATGCGCTTTGTGCACCCCCACACCTTGAGCCGCATCGACCTCATCGTGTGCCCGGAGGTTGACACTCCTCGGTTGGCGGAACGATCAGAAATCTTGCAGGACAGATTCCTCTGCTAGGCTGAAAGAGAACTAGGACCTAGGAAAACTTCCTGAATCATATCCAGAAGCATGATGTATCCCGGCTTCCCGCTGATGGTCTTCAAAGTGACGAGCGCATAGTTGCATTCATTACCTGGCAACATTCTCCCACAGCTGCTCTCAAAGCTGGAACTGCAGCAGCAAAACATCCACAAGCACGGTTTATGTTTTGGAGAAATCCCTGACCTGTCTGGACACTCACGCCACTCTTCCACTGGGCCGAGGTCACAGGGCCGTTCGGAACGGACACGTAGGGCTTCACGGTACCTGAACACGTGCTACCATCACTGCAGACAGAAGCTCACGCTCCAGTTTTGACTACGATGCCAAGTGTTTGGAACCTACCGTCAACCGAAACCTTCAAAACTTCAAAACCCAAACACCCACCCAGACCCCCTAGACCCTCCTGCTCAAGAAGAGTAGATGTTCATTCCGTGCACCTGGGGCCAGGTCGATGCCGTTCTCCTGCACAGAGATCCCGTTGCTGTTCATGAAGACCCTGACCGTCGTTCCCGATTCTTCGGTCCAACTGAAGGCGAGGCCAATGGTCACGGTGTTTTGCGATGACTTGTACTGGCAATGAAATGCTTGCCTCAACTCTCTCGCAAAGGAAAACCCTGCTACTACTAGCTCGCCTACAGCTTGAAAAGAAGTAACCAATGGCAAGGCACACTTTGAAGCCCCCACACTCAGTGTTGTCCACCACGCTATGAAGGCCCTTGCCTTGATAGTCGAAGCGTTGGCGAGGGCCCCAAGTTGCCGTGTAGTGCGGATCACCCCAATAGTTGCAACGCTTGAACTGCTGCTGATCATTCCTTAGCAGTAGCAGGCTGGAGGGATGTGCTGTAGATACTGGCCATTTCCAGCATTCGAAGACTTGCAACGAGGCACAGGTTCTGGTTCGCGCAGACAGCGCAGTTCGCTGTTTTCTCCGTGTGTTTCAAGAACGTCCCGTGGGTTTGAGAGAACAGGGCCACCACGACCGCGAGCAGGTATTTCATGGCCTGCATAGGGGTTCATCAACATGAAATCGAATCCTGTAAAGGACCACACTCACACCCCTCCCTGAGGAGAGAGCCCGACCTGCGTCTGCGGCTTTTCTCCAAGAGAGGTTGAGAATCGAGGCTTATCGGCTGAGACTGCGAGCAAAGCTTCATCAGACGTAGGCTGGCGGCCTGAAGCGAATCCCCACAGCTCCGAACATGCCACAACTTCTACATCTACACATTCAGCAAACTCGAAAGTTCGACAGAATACCCTAACCGGAAGGCCCTGCCCGCAAGCCCTCTCTGTCTCTCTGACCCCAGCATTCCGTCAAAATTCCGTCCTTGTACCCACCCTTGCCGGACCTGAGCCAACAGCTCCAGTGAGCTGCGGATTCTACGAACCGCCTAGGGGGGCTTGCTTGGCAAAGGAGAACATGGCAATGTGGACACATTCGTGCAGGATCCTTCTGCTGCCTGCCTCACGACTTGAGAGGGAAGAGGTCTAGTTCACTTCCACGTGTTCAGGCGGATCCCGGAGGAGTAAACAGATCACAGATGGCTGAAGGGCTGTGCCGTTAAGCAGCAAGCTGACAGCCACTCTCCTCTTGTGAAGCCTTGATGTCTGTGCCCTAATTTGTAGAGAGTGCAAGCTGTAAAGCCCACAAAATGCTCGATACACCAGCTCCAAGACCTGGACGCCAGAACTATCCAAGACCGAGAATACTGTCCTAAACCTAAACCTTAAGACTTTATCCATGAAGCTTCTACACCTAAAAGCCCTCTGAATCCAAAAACATGACAGCCCGACGCGTTGACGGGAGATCCTTGCTGGACCTGCCAGGCTCAGGCAAGGCAAAGCGCAGTTTAACCTGGAGGGATTGTGGGGCTTAGGGAATATAGGGTTTAGGACAAATAGTTAGGCAAAGAGCCTTTGGATGATGGGCAACGGGTTTAGGGAGCGGAGGTTTCTGCAACAGAGGCTCCAAGCCTTTGACCGGCAATACGTTTTCTCCGAGTCTTCTTGCAGCCGGGACCCGTGCGACACCCAAGCTTCAAGTCGACACTCTGGAGCCAAGTAAACAAAGAGGATACTCTAGGTGAGAGCCACATGATCACTGCTTCCCAGCTACTCATCACTATCACGATCATCATGACCGCCATCGACAGCACGATCAGCATCGTCACCACCAACAGCATCATTAGCAGCAGCATCATCATCAGCATAGGAGTAGTGAAAAGTGTCACCAAAATGCATGGCAGTCATGACACGTCTTCATGACGACGAAGTGCCATTGGCTGCAAAATCTCTCAAAACCTCTCGGGCCTTTTCAAAGTGCTCTGCCATGGACTCACCGCCCCGGCAGTTCCGTGTGGTCCATGCCTGGGCTTCAGAGCCGCAACCCTAAACCCTACAACCCCCAAAAAAGGCCCCTCACAACACACGGAAAAAAACGGGCTCACCGAGGCCCAGGCGACTCCGGCCTTGGAGGGGAACTCGCCCTGAGAGGTGTAAGCCTCGGACGCAGAAACTGAACCCACCATCCTGGGTAGGCGGCGTTATCCGGACTCATGCCACTCTTGCATTGAAGAGCTGCTCTTGAAATCATCACTTGACACAACTCTACAAGCTGAACTTCAGAGCTGGCCGGGCCGGAGGAGGCGTGGCTTCCCGAAGCAGCAAGCACACTTATCGAACGGAGATTCCGGATAGGTTTTGTGTCATGTTTGTAATTTCACAGTCGGGGTCTAAAGGGCGTACCGTCACATTAAAGGATTTGTCAGGCTTGATGCGCTCTTTAAGGCTTGTACGGTTTACTCTACCTGGGTTTAGAAGGGTTACTCACATTCATAAGGTTTAGTGCTGCATTTAGGGTTGCGTTATGATTGGGGACGAAATCTAAGATGTCTGAAGAACTGGTTTCACATTTAGGGTTAGGAAGGTTTGGTGTCACAGTTAGAGTGAAGACTTGTACAGTCAAGCGTCACGTTTAGGAGTTTGTATTGCTTAGTCTCGCATGTAGGGCTGATACGGTTTGGTGTCACATTTGGGGTTCATATGATTTCATGTTACATTTTAAGTCTTCAGGTGTACGTAGTGAGTTTCGGGTGTCATGGTGAGAATCTATAATGTGTGTGCGTGGCTGCGTGCATCAACATTATGCTGTCAAGCTTACGTTTAGTGTCACATTCAGGGCTGCAGCATGTTTAGCGTCACATTTGATTGGGGCTTTGGCCCTGAAGTTGCCAGGTGGTGTAAGCTTTAGGCAGATTTAGGTTCCGGGATGTGAAGGGTTTGAGATGCTACCTGGAGCTGGAAGTCCCACAACCACGAGCAGCTGTTATTTTCGCTTAAAGTCTCGGCATTAGGCTGGTATAGAGTGTAGCTCAAAGCCTTGGCACGAAAGCACGCAAGAAGCGGCACCGAGCAATGAGTTTCAGCTCGTAGTTTCAGGGCATCTTCATCAGCCTTTCGAAGGGCTGGGCCCGTGCGAGGAGTCGGAGCGAAACCGACTTCGCCACCCTGGGGCTCCGAGGATCCGGCTTGCTGACTCTGCAGCTGCTTCCGCAAAGAGCCGAAGTCCTGTTCGCGTCGCTTCGGCTTCAACGAATTTGGGGTCGTGGACTTCGCACACGCTTTGGCAGTAGGGTTGGCGATTCATTTCACGGTCTAGGTCCAGGTCGCAAAGCTGCAGTCGCCTGAAAACTGGTACATGGGCATCGTAATTATACCTGAAACCTGCGACCGGTGCCCAGCGTCTACGACTGTAGGTTGCAGGCTCTTTTTTTCGAGTCGAAACTCTCCGAACGAACGAGACCAGAAATGCCGCGCATCGAGTGCTCCGTTTCCCGTCAGCAAGCATCTGCCATCCCTGCAAAACCTTCAGATCGCACAGCAAAATTCATGGCCATAGTATAGACGGGTGACGAGGCCTCTGCGGCCGAGAGCAGGATCTTTTGGACGCCTTCCGACAAAGTCTCGTCCTGCAAGACTTGCACTGCGCTGCCATGGCGCACTGCATGTTCCGAAAGCTCCACATTTTGCAGATTTCAGTGCTTGATTGATGCGCTGGAAATTCTTCGGTCTGTCAGGCAGGTTCGCTTATCTAGGAGCAACCGCATAAGACCGGACAAAAACACATTCTCGTCAGTGGAAGTGGCTAGCATGAAGCTAAGACTCCCAAACTTGAAACGAGAGCCTCAAGGCAAGAGCCGGAGAACACTATATACACTATAGTCTAAGTAGAAGATGATTTCATATACTATCAGCTACTACAAGATCCTGTAGTATACTTCAATATACGATCATACTCTACAAGATACCACACTCTACCACAAAGATACTATAATAGGCTGAAGGGTTGCTGTGAATGCTATAATACACTGCTCAGACATCCCACAATGACACCTCCCGATCGACTCTGGGGCCCGGGCACTCTCAAACTCGCAAAGCCTCGCTGGTGTGCCAAAGCTTCGTCCAGATCTCAAAGCCCGCTGCGAAGTTAGGGCATTATAGAGCAGTAACGGAAAACATGGTAGATTTTGGCATTGTGGTATCTTGCAGTACGGTACAGTATGTTACTGTCTCTTATAGCATTTGCTTCTAGTCTTAGTCTGTTCTAGTATCTGGGAAACCGGAAGTTCACATGTCGAACCTCCGAGCCTCATACCTCCGACATCGAAACGCATCTGCCCCTATGAGTAGCTCAAGTCCTCTTTCGTGCAGATAGCTTGCCGTAGGAAGCACACCATCCAAAGAGGCAAAGGGCATGGTATTCCAGAAGCTCACTGCAGCCGAGGAAGCAAGTAAATTTCGTCGATAGATCGCCGGAGGCGCAGAAGACTTTGGGCCTGCAGCAAGAATCTGGATTTGGGTCTAGGATAGTTTCGGATTGTGGGCGCGAGTTGCAGCCTATCGTGCTTCCCTGTCGTGCTTGGAAAATAAATTCGAAGGCTTGTCTTCAAGAAAACCTGCAGCTTCAACCCCGAAGCGTACAAAGTCTCACCATAGGCAGCTCATCCGTCAAGAGCCACAGCGAAGCCGGAACTGCACTGTACCCGTGCAAATGGCGCGGAGGCGACCCGACACCATAACCTGAGCCCCTGAACCCCTAAAGCTCCTGCACCCATGATTCTCCCTTGCAACCCCCAAAAGCGAGTCCCGAAACCTCTCAGTCCCTTCAAGCCCCCCGTGAAGCTCTGAAGGTTTAGAATACAAAGAACGATGATGATCGCATTTTATCGTATCTCATTGTATCTGATACCGGTATGATCTTCTTTCGCATACTATAGTGACTAGAGTGTACTATGGTATACTATAGCATACTATAGCGTCCTATAGTATACTACGGTTGATGATATAAATCCTGCATTACCTTAAGGACCCTAAACTATGGGGATTCTGGTATATTC